CCTCCAAACCAACATTGGAAAGTGCATATGTCCTAAATTTGATTATGGACTGACTTCAGTTGAAGAACTAATGAAAACAATCAAAAAGTATTAGACATCTGTTTCGTCCTTATTTGGGACTCTTCAGCAGCAGACGCCCAAGACCTCGATTGGTTGAAATCACCAGGACATATAATACACATGCTAATTCATCGCTTTCTTCAATAAGCAGTATCAGTTGGTGAAATAAGACTAGTTTGGAAGAGAGTTAGCAGAGGGTCAGATGAAAACATACCATATATCCATTGTTGGTTTTATCCATAAAGGTGGGGTGGTGGGCGTAGACTGCTCAGAAATCCTCAGTAACTTTCGCCTGTACATTTTCGTTCACTGTAAGTTTCATTTCCTTCGTCTACTTGTACATGGCAAATTTTACAAGGTTCTACACCTAATGAGTCAACCAAATTGATATCAGCCTTGGAAGGGATCAAAAATTAGGGAATCCTAGGCAGATGTCTCATCTTACTTAGACATACAACCTTCAGTGCAATGTACCGACGATATTTTCATTCAATAACAGTGTAGTGTAATGTCAAGCATCTCGTGTTACATAATATAATATCTTGTTGTCTTCTTCTGATTACAGAACTTCAGAAAGAAGAGAAGTTCGTCAGCTACAGTTTACTGCATGGCCAGATCATGGAGTACCGAATCATCCAGCCCCATTGTTAATGTTTCTAAGACGTGTTCGAGCTGAATGTCCCGCGAATTCTGGTCCAATTATTGTACATTGTTCTGCAGGTGTTGGAAGAACCGGTAAGCCGATTACTGAAATATATCTATTCATTTATTTATTTATTTATTTTCAAAGTGCCTATACTCATTTTTGTTGATTGTCTTCTTCTATTTTATCCTTAACCTTCACTAGTGATGATGAGTGTTAGGTGTCCATTGCACGAAATAACAACAATAGTAGTATCAATAATAATCTTAACAAATATTTCATTTTCTCTCCTCCAATTCCCCCCCAACAGGTGCATTTATCCTGCTGGACATCCTACTTGAACAAATGCGTCATGAAAAAGCCGTGGATGTTTTCAGCGCAGTGAGTCGTTTACGCGCTCAACGTAACTTCATGGTACAAACAGAAGATCAATACGCTTTTATCTATGAAGCTTTAGTTGAAGCTGCATCGAGTGGTAATACAGAAATACCAGTTCAACAATTGACCAATCATTGGACACGTTTAACTGATTTGAATCGGATCAAGTGTCAAGATCATCATCATCAATTGAATTCATCGGATCAAATCAGTTTGTCAGTGAAATCTTCTGTCTATACAAATTCAACCATATCGACTGGTTTAGAACTGGAATTTTATCATTTGCTGACCCAGTCGAATTTAACCAAGTTAATTTCATCTATTCCATCATCAATTGGACTGTTATCACCGATTGATCCGATCTCGAATAAAGAGGATGAAAGAGGCGGGAATGGTTGTTCAAGTATACCACGACTACCACCTCCAATTGGATTGGGTATGAATAAAACTGGATTGGCAGCAACTCTACCGGTAAGTAGAACCCTATATATATATATATATATATATTGACTGATTAAAATGCCCATTAAAATTTTCAAAAGAATTGACACGGAACAAAGAGTACTCTTTTCGATAAATTCATCATCAGGTTCTACAATTATATATACATTATAATGAATGAATGAATTAGTCTTATGAACGACATTAATGTTTAAATAACATCAAATAAATAATATTGATAAATTACAGCTGAACAGCATCAACATAAAATAAACTGAATGTCAGAAGAATTAGGAAAGATAATAGTACAAATTCATGAGTTTATAGTCTCTAGTGAGGGCTGGCCAGGGCAGTAGTAGGGGCTGGACTCGCTTCTTCTGAACACAGAGCACCGGTTATTTGAGGCGAATTGCAATAGCCTCTGCTGTTTGGAGCATACGGTGCTTCTACGATTTTGGTAATTTGTTAGGCACCCGGTATATTATAGAGAAGGATTCTTCTACGCCGGCTTTGTGACCGGTTTGCATCAGATGGTCTAATATCGAGCTGTTAATAGTTTTAACTACACCTTTACTTAGCCATAGTGGGATATGTTCTCGAGCACGAAAAATCAAGTTCCTAGAGCAACGGCCAATATAACTCGCTCCACAAGCGCAGTTGAATTGATAGATACAATTTGAAGTGGCTAGTCTTAATTTTCTTAATTTCTTTGAGCTGTCAAATGCATAATCTGGTCGCCCTTGAATGGTAGGTAGCTTTCTTTGGTACCGAAGCTGTCTTTTCGAGATGTGGTCTTTCTTTACTAATGGTTATCCGGAAAACTTTATCACTTGTCACAGTAAAGAAAGACCACATCTCGAGAAGACAGCTTCTGTACTACCACTCAAGGGTGACGAGATTATGCAGTTGACAGCTCAAAGACTTCGGTCAGCCATCAAACGCACATTCTACGCCGCATCTCTTTTTCTCACTTGCCGAACATTTTCGATCCCTGTACCTACAATTAAAGGACGAAATTCTGTGGACTCTACTTCAAACTGCATCTACAAGTTCACCTGCAGTTGTTGCGGTGACACCTATATAGGTAGAACCAACAGAATGTTCCAATGTCGTCGAAAAGAACATGTTCCAAAATGGCTTCTAAATCATATAGAAAATCCCGACGCGATTAATCTTAATAGAAATCCAGCATCATCCATTACAAAACACTTATTAATGTCAGGTCACAAAATCAATATTAACGACTGTTTCACAATTATTTCATCATATCACTCTAATTCAAGGTTATTGAAGGTGATGGAAGTACTTTGGGGATTAATCACATACAGCCTAAACTGTGTGTACAAAAATCAATAGACTTCAATTAATGTCGCCTACCATGGACTACTTGACCTATCTAAATATGATTGGTCATTAGTATGTACTTTTGTGTTTTTTATTTAACTGAGTAATTGTCATGAACTTTATTTTATGATTGCTAACCATGTTAGTTGTAAAGCGGTTGTAAAGAAACTACGAAATGACGATATCATCTCACGAAATTTGTCTTCTTAATGCCTTATTCAAATATATATATATATATATCATGGTAACAACTCTGTTGATTTGACTAGAATCTCTATGTATTTTATTTTCCCCTGTCATTATTTAGGTTAATATACCTAAAAATCGTAACCTGACGATTATACCGCATGATGCTAATCGTGTCGCCTTGAAAGCTGTCCGTGGTGTTGATGGCTCTGATTATATCAATGCAAGTTATATTGATGGCTATAGGTCACGTGCTGGTTATATAGCGACACAAGCACCAATGAACAATACACTAGAAGACTTTTGGCGAATGATATGGGAGTCTGGATCATGTTTAATTGTTAAGCTGGACAGTACTCTGACACCATCGATTGATGGTAAATTTATTGATTCAGTAAGTTTTATTGTTATTATTATTATTATGCAATATAGTATTATATCACTGTGAATAATATTATTATAATAATAATATAATAATGCTCCTTAATTAGCTCTCAGGATAGACGCCTTGAACGCTGTAAAGAACACTTTGAGGAACAATTTAACTTGCCTACAGCCACAATGAGCCTCCCCGCCATCCAGCACACACCCGAATGAGATATAGACACTGGCCCGCCGTCTGTAAGTGAGGTCACAAAAGCTATCTGTAATCTGAAACGAGGCAAAGCGGCATGACCCAACGGAATTATCCCGCAGGTGTTTAAATATGGGGGTGACATACTAGTATATGGTTTAACTAAGGTACTAGGTAACGTCTGGGAATCACAGACGGTTCCATCAGACTGGGGTAAGTCACTTATTATACCAATATTCAAGAAGGGAGACAAGTCCCCATGTGATAATCATAGAGGAATCAGCCTGATGAACATAGTCTCTAAAATCCTAGGCTCAGTAATCATGCACAGACTATGCCGAACTCGGGAGGAACAAACGAGGGAAAATCAAGCGGGCTTTAGGCCAGGTAGAGAGTGCATAGATCATATCTTCAGTCTCCGACAGATCCTAGAACATAGACACACTTTTAGGCGTCCAACAATTGCCATATTTCTTGACTTGAAGGAGGCATCCGACTCCGTGGATCGAGAGGTTCTATGGCAATGTTTGGCTATGAAGGGAGTGCCAAGAAAGTACATTGCACTAATCAAGGCACTCTACTCAAACTCACCTAGCTGTGTAAGGGCTTATGGGGAATTGTCATCTGAATTGATAACAACCAGTGGTGTCCGTCAAGGATGTCCACTTTCCCCTTTTCTGTTTAACTTCATCATAGATATGCTAATGGAAGTATCCTTAGCTAAACTTGACGATTTAGGAATTGACTTGTTACCAGGGAATAGTCTTATGGACTTAGAATATGCAGATGACATAGTCCTGTTAGGGGAGGATGCTGACAAAATCCAGCAGAGTCTTCTGAACACCTTGAGCAGCAATCTTCGTATGTTTGGCATGAGATTCGCCCCTGCTGTAAAATGTAAGATGCTGCTACTGGACTGGACTACGTCAACTCCTAGCTTAGTGATAGGGAGTGAAGTGATAGAACATGTTGACCACTTCACCTATTTGGGAAGTTGTATCAGCACCAACGGATTGATTGGTGACGAAATCTCAGCACGGATCCAAAAAGCTTGGGCTGCTTTCGCTAACTTACACCATCTCCAGCGTGGGCGTGACATCCGACTATCAACCAAGGGACGTGTGTACTGCTCAGCAGTTCGCCCCGTCCTTCTCTATGGCTCTGAAACATGGCCAATACGAGTTGAAGACATGAAAAGGTTGACTGTTTTTGGTCATAGATGTCTACGATCTCTTTCTCACGTTAGGTGGTAAAATGAGGTAAGTAATGTTGACGTTAGGCGTAGAGTGTTGGGCAAAGAGGGAAAATCAATCGAAGAGGCTATAAAGTTACATAGATTGAAATGGCTAGGTCACGTGCTGCGCATGCCTAACCATCGCCTCCCCCGACGGATGGGCATTACTAGCTGATATAGGTGCAGGTTGGAAAAGAGTAAGTGGTGGCCAAACAAAAACATGGCCTCATCAATCCATGAAATCCTTGACAGTTAAATTGAGTCAGTTAGGTAGGGAGGGAGATGCAGACTTCCGGGTTGGGGCCCGCCCTCGAGACTCTAAGAATCAATGGCTGGAGAAAATAGGTGACATGTCTCAAAATCGTTGTCAATGGCTTACGCAGATGTATTCAGTCTCTTTAACCTTCATATTCCTTTCTACCACTACTCATTCTGTTTCACTATTATACTTGTCAAAACTCTATTGATTCTCTTCACTCATTTTCTTGTCTACCTTTGTGTGCTATTTGGAACGTGGCAACTCGAACTGCTGCACTTGGGTGCCAAGTTCTATGTTGAATCCACCCAGCCAGCCTTTCCGTATTCCAGTTCGATTCGAGGGTCTGCTCAGTGTGTGATATCACTCACCAGTCTCCTAAGTGTCCCCCCCTGATCCATCTCCATTTACTTCTACAGTAGGTTCTTAATGTTGGTTCGTTGTCAGCCAGAGTTCCATTTTGCTAACCCTTTTCCGGCAGACCATCTTCTACTCAGTATCCGGCTAGAGAAGACATCTGTTATTAAAATACAAACAACTATGAAGAGATATCTTATAATACAGACTTAGTTGAGAATCACTGACAGGTAAGGAGTACTGGACAGTGTACACCCATAAATTCATCATGGTCACTTGGCTGGGATCCATTGTCTTATGAATTCTAACCTCTAAAGGTTCTAAGTTTGATCACTGCTAAGATCGTAGGTATCCATGTACTACTAAAAAGTGTAGCAATCTTCGTATGTTTGGCATGCGATTCGCCCCTGTAAAATGTAAGATGATGTTGCAGGATTGGACTACACCGACCCCTAGATTAGAAATAGGAAGTGAAGTGGTAGAGCACGCTGACCACTGCACTTTTTTGGAAGTTGCGTCATCCAATGCCAGCGGGTTAATCACTGACGAGATCGCAGCACGGATACAGAAGGCTCGTTTCGCATATGCCAGTTTACACCGTCTCCAGCGTAGACATGATATTCGGCTATCGACTAAAGGGAGTGGGTACTACTCAGCAGTCAGCTCCGTCCTCCTTTATGGCTGGCTGTGAGACCTGGCCATTGAGAGTGGAAGACATGAAAAGCCTGGCTAGCTGTCTTTGATCATAGGTGTCTGCGACCTATCTCCCGTGTGAGGTGGTTCAATAGGGTGAGCAATATTGAGGTTAGGCATCGAGTGCTAGGTAAGGAGAGGAAATCAATCGACGAGGCTGTGAAGTTACATCGACTGAGATGGTTGGGACATGTGTTACGCATGCATGCCTAGTCATCGCCTTCCTCCAATGACGGGCAATGTTAGCTGATATAGGGTCAGGCTGGAAAAGAGCTAGTGGCGGTCAAACGAAAACATGGCCTCACCAGTCAATGAAATCTACAACAGTTAGTCTAGGCCACGTAGGAAGGTGTAGACTTCTTGACTGGTTCGGGTCCTCGAGACGGTAAAAACCAATGAAGGCTGGAGACAATTGGTGATATGGCTCAAAGTGATCGTTCTCAGTGGCTGGTGCAGACGCATGCACTCCCTGTGACTTATAATTTACAATGAAACTGTATTGTTCTTCGATATTATTATATTTTTGCCTCATATCTCTGTTTACTGTCTTTATTTTTCATTTCTTTTTACTTTCTTCTGTTGCTTTGTGTGCTACATGGAGGGAGAGTGGCGACTTGAACTGGCGCACGTATGTGCAAAGTTCTATGTCGAAAACAGACAGACAGACTCAAATGTGCCAAACTACAATGAAAGAGCTACTGAGTAGTACCTCCCTGACTTCCACCACTAGTTCGAGACGAGATGTACTCTGATTATATTATTTTTTATTATTATTTCCTTGGGTTCCTTCCTCCTTTCAACACGATCTCCTACGTGTCTCTCATTGGGATTCCACTGGAGCAATGGCCTGCACTGCGAGCAGACGGCCTCCTCAGTGGCGTATGCCCGACCGATACATCTCCATTTTCTCCTACATATTTGTGAAGCGATCAGCTCTCGCCTGCTGGTTTATTCCCAGCCATAATTTCCTGTCGCTAATTCTTTCTGGCCATTTGATCTTCAGTATGGAGCCAGCCAGTGAAGAGGGCAGCTGTTGATGAAAGTCTCAAAATCTGTGGTGTACTCTGAAGTCAATCAAAATCCATACTTCCCTGAACATTTGAAGGAAAGCCAACAAATATTCAGTAAAGCACAACTATCAAGAGATAATTTAATTGAATTTCAAATTTTCCTGTCCATTGATTGATTGGACCAAAGTGCTCGGGTCGCTCAGGTTGACATGTCGGCTCCTCCGTGTATAGATGCTCTGACGATATCTCTAGACATGTAATTAGAATTTAACTGGTAAATGGTGACTAGCAGTAGAATCCAGGACAACGCACATTTCGTCTTATTTTGTACTCGTCAGCTAGCTGGATGTACCTGCATTCCCCAGTGAGTGATGATGTTCCCACCGAGGCTTGTGGCCCAAGTGGTCTAGTGGATAACGCTTTGGCGTTTGAAACTATGTGGGCACTGGGTTCGAGCCTCGGTGGGAACATCATCAGTGAATGCGGAATGCAGGCACATCCAGTTAGCTGATGAGTCCCAAATAGGACGAAATGCGCATCCTGGATTCTACTGCTAGTCGCCATCTACCAATTAAATATCAAGAGATAAGCTTGAAAGATGACTGTAACAGCATATTCTTCGGTAGGAGCTCAAGGCTTGCATCCTAATGATGTGTGACGGGGGGGAGAGGGAAGCAGTCAACATTCTTGACTACTCAAATTACAGATAGATAGATAGATAGTTCTTGTATTTATTTTGTCATCTACGGTGGGTCTTGAGTGCGTGGTGATGAAGAATTTCAAACTTAGGAAGTAACAGCTCTCCGGTACTTCACACTGGTTTCCAGTACTTCTTCAAAATGATGTCGATTCCTGATTAACCATGGAACCAATCAAATCGCTACAAACGAACTCCTGAATATTCAAGTATTGGGCCATTGGATCGGGTCCCAGTGGCTTAATGGTCTACGAGCTCGCCTTGTAACCAGAAGGTCCTGGGTTCGAACCACGCAGTGTGGGTGCGTACTGATGAAGAGTCCCAAACTAGGCCGACGAAACAGCTGTCCAATACTCCCTATGGCTGTTTTTCCAATGGTTCTCTAACCAATGTAAGCTCATGATGAAATCCTGTAACTCCTGAATATTAATCTGATGCTCCCCGGTTACTGACTACAGACGGACGAATTTGCCTGGAGTTCTTGCGAGATATCATGATCAGTGGAGTTCACAAGGTTTGGCATGAGGACAAGGATATTTGTTCAAGGTCGCGGTAAAATCATGAACTAGTAGAAGTGGGATGTGACTGGATGTTCTACAAGTTAGAATTGTGACCGGAAGATCCTGGGTTCGAACCCCGGTGGACGAAGACTCGCAAACTAGGACGAGACAGCTTTCCAGTACTCCAGTGCTGGTTCTCAATGGTTCTCCAACAGATATCGATCCGTGATTAAGCTTCAAACTATCACTGACTACAGGCGGACAAAGTTGCCTGAAGTTTTAAGAATAAGTCGTGACCCATGAAGTCTACCAGGTTGGATGTGTGGACAAACACACTCACCGATGACACTGGCTGGCAGTCGTGCTTTAAATCACAAATTAACAGAAGTTGGAATTCTTCGGCCAGTCATCGAGCTCGTCTTGTAGACTGAAGTTCCTGGGTTCAACCACTAGTGAAAGGAGTTATAGGTGAGTGCTGTTGAAGAATCCCAAACTAGGACGAAACACCCATCCAGTACTGCCCTGTTAGTTATCAGAAACCAATCAACCAGTGAATATATTTTAATACATAAAAATCAGTAAATATACACATTGAAATAAAGGTTTTAGTATTTCCCAATGAATGAAAAACAAAACGATATTGTTTTTACTGACGTTTCGCTATTTAATGCTAATAGCTTTATCAAAGCATTATTAAACCGGAATTTACAAAATCTCAGCATATATATAACAAAGAGTTAAGGGGTGAGAAAATAGACTTAGGTCAAGTTAAAGGGACATAATGAAAGTCAAAATACCAATGAAGATCACTAAACCAAATAACAAAGGTAATAGTTCATCTGTTATGGTATCAAAATAAAGTTTACTAACTTGATCATCGTTCGTTAGTATGGGGTCATTTTCCGTTGTCAAGTTGGTCAATTGGTAAAGATAACAAAATCAAGTGTAGATTGTTGGATTTGATCAGTTTTTAAAATTATAAAGGCAGTGTGTGTTTACATAGTGAACTTGCATATCACATTCGTGTTGATTTTGTCACTTCATGGGGGAGGGAGGTGTTGTAACCAGGTCAAATTCTGTTTTAGTCCATCATTCCTATTCAAACAATTTGGATTCCACTTGATATGAAGTGCTTCTGATGATATTAGACGTTCTTTGTGATTTCTGAAGTTTTCCTGGATTATTTCAATATTGTCAAAATCAATTTTGTGACCTGATTCTATAGCATGTAGACCTATGGCTGATGATTTTTCAAGTTTTTCTAGTTCAACCGGATTTCTCGGTGGTCGAACAGATGCTCTATGGTGTTCATTTCTTCTGATTTTGATTTCTCGAGATGTTTGTCCGATATACATCCCATCACATTCCAAGCATTTTATTTTATAGACACAGTTAGGTAGAGAATCTTTAGGGATCTGGTCTTTTATATGGACAAGGTTGCTTTGAAGTGTGTCTGGTGTTTTGAAGAAAACTCTAATATCGAGCTGATTGAGTACTCTTCTGATATCATCTGACGTCTCTGCTCTATATGGAATGACGACTGTTGAGGTCCATGTTTTCTGAATACGTTTTCGGCCATATTTACTGTCAGTGTTGATTTTGTTGATGAAGTCACTTGGGTAGTTGTTTTGCTTGAGGAGAGTTTCAGTAATGTTTGATAATACCTTGATAAAGCTATTAGCATTAAATAGTGAAACGTCAGTAAAAACAACAATATCGTTTTGTTTTTCATTCATTCATTGGGAAATACAAAAACCTTTATTATAATGAATATCGCATATACCCAATGCCCAAATTTTTTCAAACTGTTAAAAGTGAACTTGGTTTGGACATATATACACATTAAAACCCTAATCTGAGTTTTTCCTTAATTTTTAACAGCCAACCTACTGGCCAAACTTACAATCAGCACGTCATGGATTCTTGGTTGTCGATCCGATAGCCACATATACCATGCCCGCCTATATTATGCGTGAATTACGTCTAACAGATACACGTGATGGCAGTTCACGAACAATTCGTCAATTCGACGCCAGTTGTACAGCAAATTCAATTATACATCTTGAAAAACAAACCTGTGCCACATCAAGTAATAGTAGTGAATTCCTCGTGGAATCATCCCCGTCAATAACAACAACAACCGGTGGTATCGGCTGCGGTCGAGGAGCATCACTATCACCGAATCCACTCCTGCTGGAGACATCATTTACAGAGGATGATTATCTCCGCGTAAATCATATACCCAGTCAGTTGTTGACAACATTTCGACAATGTTATCAACCATTGTGTGAATCAATGCTTGAGTTAATTAGTCAAGTACATAAAACTAAGGAACACTTTGGTATGGAAGGACCAATTACTGTACATTGCAAGTGAGTTATTTCAAAATCTTATCTTGATTGATTGATTGATTGATTTTATTGATCTCAGCTGGATCCTTCACAATGTCTTAAAATGGTTGATGGGATAACATTTAACCTGTTGGTAGACGTTGTCTTGGATTCGAGACTCAATGAGGAGACACTATCATTCACTGAGTGGGATGAAAATTCATTCAATTGACAAGTCTCTAATAGGACGAAACTAGCCTTCTGGATTCCACTACTGTCCTTCCCATCCACCAATTGAGATGACAAGAGATGTGGTAACTCGATACACAGATCGATTGAAGGCCGAAATTGTCTGGTCTCTATGTTTATATATTGGCTTCTAGTACTAGCGCTTCCAATGATTAAGGTAAAGTTATCCTGGAATCCGGTAAGATAGGCATTTCGTCCTATTTTGGACAGACTCGTCAGCCGACATACATACCTGAATTTCTAGTGAATGATCGTGTTTCCACTGGGAATCGAAACCAGAGTCCATGTGTTTTAAATGTCAATGAACAAGAGATGGCTTTCATGGTCCAAATGACCCAGTGGACTGACTGACTGACAGGTTTCAACAGAGAACTTTGCACCAATGTGCAGCAGTTCGTGTCACCACACTTCACTCAGCACACAAAGCCAGAAAAGAAAGTAGAATAAATGCAAAATAGAGACAGTAAACAGAGACATAAGGCAAAAAGGATAGTAATATTGAAGAACAATATAGTTTTATTGGATATTGAAGTCACAAGGAGTGGATCCATCTGCGCCAGCCATTGATAACGATTTTGAGCCATATCACCGATTGTCTCCAGCCTTCATTGGTGTTTACCGTTCCGACGACCTCAACCAGGAAGCCAGTCTACACCTTCCTACATGGAGTGGACAATGCTCCAACGTCTGAAATGATGGGTAGGGGGTTCGAGTCTCAGTGAGAACACTAACAGTTACCAAGTGACATGCAGTCATAGCATAGTTTTGTTTCCATGCTATCCAAGAAGTGGAAACATTTATTTCCCGATACGAATTTAAAACAAGCAATAAAGGTTAATAAAGCATGATATAATGAATTCATCAAATTTCGGTAGAACTCGTCAGCTGAATACTCTACATACACAGATATATATATATATACTTTTGAAATTACATTGGGAGACATAAGACTGATAAGTAAACAAACTACATTGAATTAGTCATGCAGAAAGACAGGTGCGAATGTTTTTCCAGGTCATGTTCAAATAGATAAGGGGAGAGAGAGTATGAAAGATCAAAATTAAGATAAATTGCATTACGCTTCAATTACATCACTTAGATAAACAATTAGACATTAGAGGATATAACAAGAATTGCAAACAGAGTAATATCAATAGTAATAGTTATAATAACAATAATAATAGTGTTGAAGTGAGTTGAGATAATGCTACTGATAAAAGATAGTTTTAAATGAATCAAGAATAATAATAAGAGGTAGAATTATAACTAAAACGTGTTACCATGGTAGATTCAGGGTGACGACCATCCCCTTTTGTACACAGAGACCTGGTTTATAAACTCGAATTGCACAAGCCTCAGCAACTGCAAGCATCTTCATCTTTCTTTGTCTGCTGACAATAGTGAATGACTTGACCGCGTCGATATCGTGCCCGTAATCCACAAGATGCTTTGTTATTGAGGATTTTGGCACTTTGCACTCAGCTGTTTTCAACCATTTTGGCAAATGCTCCATCATGCGAGTTGACAATCGCCTTTCTGTACGACCTATGTATTTTCTTCCACAAACACACTCAAATTGATATACGCAGTTTGAAGTGTCGAGGATTGGCGACTGGTCTTTCCCAGATTGTTGAAGCACTCGCTTAGTGGTGTTAAGGAAAACAAGTTTTGCAGCATAATAAGTTCTCTTGATAGCTTTATCGAGTCTTCGTTTGATTACTTCCTGTACATCATCTCCTTTGAACGGCAAACTGATATACACAGGTTTCTTCGGAACTGTTTGTATTGTTTTGCAGCGGGTGTTTTCTTTAGAGTATTTATTAATGAACTTCTCAGGATATCCATTCTTAGATAAAATATCCTTCAGGGATTTTATTTCATGCTCAACAGTACTGTCAGAACAAATTTTTCGTGCTCTATTGAACAGTGTTCTGACCAAGAGGTGTTTTTATCCTTAATTACTTTTCAATATGTGTTTTCATCACTAACCCTCATCACTTTCTTTTCCCTCTCTTTCCACTTTTTTATTTTCTAGTTTGGGCGCTGGAATCACAGGCATTTTTCTTGCCATCTCACTTGTCCTAGAACGTATGCGTTATGAAGGTGTTGTAGATATGTTTCAAACTGTTAAACTTTTAAGATGGCAACGTCCTGGTCTTGTACAAACTGCTAGTGAATATGCATTCTGTTATGCTACAGCTTTAGAATATCTTGAGTCTTTCGAAAGATATACAACATAAATAACTAAATAAATCATTTTTGTTTTTCTAATTACTAGTTACAATTTATACTACTGTTAAAAGAATATAAGTAGTTTGATTGATATTGTCAAAATTCAATAGTGAATCAACTATACAATATTGAACATTGTACATTGAACAAACTAGGCGCCTTTTTTAAAAGAAAAATTAAAGGGGAAGGTAATAAATGACAAGGAAAAAATGGGAAACTCTATTAATTTGCCAACATCTTTTCGTCTTTGTGTCTTTGATTTTTCTTTTGTCTTTTTTGGTTATATTTCTTTCTCATTGTGTGTATTATTTTTGTACCTATTGATGACGATGAAACGTTACCTTCAATATTCACATCTGAAGTTAGATATCCCCTGTCAGCTTAAATCATGTCTTCCTTGATGGTCAGTGTGAATAGAACACACTATCACACACCACTTTCCCCTTTATGTATGTGTACATAATTGAAAATAATAAATCGGTTTGTATAGATGAAATATGCACATATATACACATATTTTTCACTTGCTTTAAACTGCTTATACCCATTTTAACCTTGAATGAAGTGTATTTTTTAGCTCCGACCCCCCCCCTCGCACAGACACACGACACCTCATCTTCTGTCTTTGTGATCATTTGTCTTCTTTCCTCCTCGAAGAAATGTTGTTGTTGCTGTTGTTGTTGTTGATGTCATCGTTGTATTCGTCGTCATCCTCTCGCTGTCTGGTGCTGACTGATGCGCACAATTTTTGGAAAAGGTTGTTAGACCGAGGCGTTCTTTAATTAATAAGAATGCATGCAGATTACTCCTCCCTTTCAATTATTTATCACACAAATATATAAATGGGTATACATATTGTGTGGATTGCATTTATAAGGAGAAGGGAGAAGAGAAGAGAACATTGAGTCATTCTCTCTCTCTCTCTCTTCCTCGCCACTGCTAACTTGCATGCTGAAAGCGCAGAAATATATTGTTAAATTTCAAGAATTTAGGCCTTATTTATTATTATTATTATTATTGTTATTACTACTATTATTACTGTGTAATAATATCCTTTTTTTCTCCCAAATGACCTCTGTTTTCTGACCCATGACTCCCCCACCCCACCCCAATCTAATTTACACTGTCCTCCCCTTTCCTATCCTTGTTAAAACTATTGTGTTAGGTTCTATGACTTTGAGGATTTTGTCTCGATTCTCAGTGGAATCTGTTTAATAATAATAATGATAATAATAATATGTATTGTATATTGTACATTATTTACTAGTGGGTGGGAAATTCCTTCCTGCCCTCCCTCCCTTCCTTTCTTTATTTCTTTCAAACTCTTCTCACTGACTGACTGCTTTTTCAAAAATAAAATAAAACCGTTCAAAACAGAAAAGTGCTGCCTTTTTGATTTTCTTGGTTTCTCAGTCTCTCAGATCATCATCACTTATGAATATATTTCATACGAAGTGATTTCTGGTGTACATACACCCCAGGCTTGACTGTCTGATTGACTGACTGATAGAGAAGGGCACACACTTCATGTAGTCCATTTGAGGACATTAAGGAGCCTGTAGATACACAATAATGAACAAGATTAAGAAATCTACAGCGGATTTAATACAGTAGTAGTAGTATGAAGCTGTCAGTGGGTGAGTCTAAATGGTTTAATTTAATGCTTAGAACTTATAATGCTAGTAGAATGTATGGTACTATTAAAATACATAAACCAGATTACCCATACCCCATACGACCAATAGTAGATTTCAAAAATACGCCGACATATGAATTATCAAATCACTTAGCTCCAATATTATGTCCCATTAGAAATCATTCAAACTCTAGGCCAGCTGACTAATTCATATGAGATGAAAAAGAAACTAAATGACATTCAACTAGAGAATGATGAAACAATGGTTTGTTTTGATATAACTAGTCTTTATACCGATATACCAATCAATATGGCAGCCTTACAAGCAGTTAAAAAAGAACTAACTGCAGATCCTGAACTCACTCATAGGACGAAGCTGCCAACTGAGGAAATTATTTTAGGAATTCAGTTATGCCTCACATCTAGTATCTTTAAATTCCAAGGCAAAATATATAAACAAACAGATGGTGTAGCGATGGGGTCACCAGTATCCCCTATTGTAGCAGACATCTTTATGGACAGCTGGGAAAATAGTGCTCTCAATACATTTAATCCCACGCCAAAAATATGGTGGAGATATGTAGATGACACATTCACAGTGTTAAAAACAGAACATATCTCTAGCTTCTTAACACATATAAACTCACAAGTAGAAGGAATAAAATTCACATTTGAATCAGAAAATGAACAAGGAGAATTAACCATGTTAGATTGTAAAATAAAACGAACAGAAGAAGGCAAACTACACACAAGTGTTTATAAAATGCCAACGCATTTTGCTAATAGATATTTAGACTTTAATTCATCTCATCCGTTATCTGTCCGTAAAGGCAGGCAGGCTTAGTGAATTGTCTAACGAACCGAGCAGCAGCACTAAGTAGTACAAGAAAAGACCTAAATGATGAAATAGAACAGATAGAAAAAGCGCTGATGTTGAATAACTATCCTACAAAATTCATTAGGAATATCATAAAAGGTCAAAAGCGAAATAAAAATAATGGTGAAACTAATAATGATAACATAAATAAGAGAGAATATAAGGCATCTACAATAGTTTTACCATATAAGGAGGGGACATCTGAGACCCAAAGTAGGATTCCCAATAGAGCAGGAATTAGGGTGGCATTCAAACCTACAAACTCACTCAAGTAGGACAAGCTCTGTAGGCTCAAAGACCCAGTGGACACAATATGACAAAATAATGTAATTTACAAAATATCTTGAAATGACTGTGAGTTAAGTCAACTACATAGGTCAAACTAGTAGATCAGGAGTAGGGAGATTATCAGAACATAAGAATTTAGCTAAGGTTAGAATGATTGACCCCACAAAGATCAGTAATTTAGAAAAAAACTCAACAATCGCACTGCATGCATTAACACCCAGGCACACAATATGGTGGGCAGGACAGAGTCCAAATTCTAAAAAGCAATATAGGTAGGCGGAGAGAGATTGATTACTGAATTCTGCCTGGTTCATCGAGTGAATCTGCACCCAACATATGCAATAGAAATGACTCAATGCAAATACCAGAGATATGTGTGGAAGATATTATTGCCACCAGTCAAATCGTAGAATAATTAATAACGTTAAAATGTATTCAATTCACATTATAACACTCTAACAAGTTACTTATTTTGACTATAAAAACACTCGTCTTATTTGCCATCTTAGTGTATTTTTATTCATAACACTAATATTATTATTTCTGAATGTACTTTGTCTTATATTGATTTTTATTCAAATGTATGATCATTAATTTCACTCATGTGCATCAGTTAATATTACTGTACAACACTGTGTGATTTATCAAAATAAAATCTTATCTATAATGGAGTTATACACTACCACAGTGCCCAAGTTTTATACTTATACTTCATGCAGTACCCAGGAAGGTAGACAAAATACGGAGAGAGAGAGATTGAGAAGAACTAGAATGTGCAGAAATTTCTGAGGAAAAGAATACTGACATGGATATGGTGTATCTGTGCCATTGTAATAGCAGAAGGCAAGACACGCAAGCCAAGGTATATTTTCAGGTGATCAAACAGCTATTTATATAGATACAGTTTTATATTCTCTAACCAATCACTGAGTGTATGATTTTGGTTTATATTGAACGACATGAAATTGAATGTTCAAGTACATATACAGAGTATTCTGTTGCTAATGCCGTATTGAACTGTGGGAACATGTGAGAATCATATTACGTTGGACATGTTATCTGTACCATACCACCACACTCGTCACCACGTCAAAGACTTTCGACTGAAGTCGGTTCGATCGTCTTGGTACTGGCGGCTTTGTTAGTTTGTCTTACTGTATCGAGTTCTGAAGCTCGCTGACATTCACCCGCTTCTCTTTGTTTGCATTTCTGATCGTATATACATGACCCCGTCTCACGGTGACCATGTATGGTCCTTCCCACTTTGGAAGCAGTTTGCATGACCCTGGCGAGTATTCGCCGGTGTTTCATCTCACACTATCATATGCTGCCGTTGCCCGACCTCCCAGCAGCGTTCCAAGTAGCAGCCTCATCGCTGACGGATCTTGAACGCCACTCAACTGCGCAACAGCCTCGAAATCATGCAAGAAGATCCATATGTCTCCTTCTTCAAAAACTGTAGGACATAGGCTTTCACTTGTGGGCAGGCAGCGACACCAAATGTAACAGCCGAAGGCAAGACACGGAAGCCAAGGTATATTTTCAAGTGATCAAACAGCTATTTATATCTATACAGTTTATATTCGTTAACCAATCATTGAGTGTATGATTTTGGCCTACATTAAACGACATGAAATAGAATGTTCAATATACATATATAGAGTATTCTGTTGCTAATGCAGTATTGAACTATGGGTATATGTGAGAATCATATTCCGTTGGAACACATTGTCTGTACCACACCATCATTATTTAGAAGAATGATTATAAACCTAGTAGCCTCCATTCATTGATTCTTAGTATCCTGGCAACCACAGCAGGGTAATCTACACCAACCTTGTGTGACTGACTCAAACCAACTGTCAGAGTCTTTGTAGGATGATATTAGATAAGGTATGACCGCTTCACCTACTTCGGAAGTACCATCAGCCAACGCCAACGGGTTGATCTCGGACGAAATCTCAGCACGAATACAGAGGCCTAGGTTCGCATATGCCAGTTTACGCCGTCTCAAGCAGTAGACGTGATATCTGACTATCGACCAAAGGGCGTGTGTACTGCTCAACAGTCCGCTCCGTCCTCCTTTATGGCTGTGAGTGTGACCTGGCCATTGAGAGTGGAAGACATGAAAAGCCTGGCTAGCTGTCTTTGATCATAGGTGTCTGCGTTCTATCTCCCGTGTGAAGTGGTATAATAAGGTGAGCAATATTGAGGTTAGGCACCGGTCGAGTGCTGGGTAAGGAGGAGGGGAAATCAGTCGACGAGGCTGTGAAATTACATCGACTGAGATGGTTGGGACATGTGTTACGCATGCATGCCTAGTCATCGCCTTCCTCCAATGACGGGCAATGTTAGCTGATATAGGGTCAGGCTGGAAAAGAGCTAGCTAGTGGTGGTCAAACTAAAACATGGCCTCACCAGTCAATGAAATCTACAACAGTTAGTCTAAGCCAGCCACGTAGGAAGGTGTAGACTTCCTGACTGGTTTGGGTCCTCGGGACGGTAAAAACCAATGGCGGTTGGAAACAATTGGTGATATGGCTAGCTCAAAATCGTCCTCAATGGCTGGCCGGTGCAGATGCATCCACTCCGCGTGACTTATGATTTCCAATGAAACTGTTTTGTTCTTCGTTATTACTATACCTTTGTCTCACACCTCTGT